ATCGAACCGGGGGAGCAGCCGTTGGCGCGGCCACCGTTGGGTTTCCCGCTGCCCGCGTTGGCGCCGCCACGGCCGCCGCTGGGTCTCGCGCGACCGCCTGTGCCGTCTGAGAACAGCGACCTGCTTCCGACCGCGCGCCAACCACGTGCGCCCTTCCGTCGCACGATCCAAGAAGAACGAGAGCCACGAAGCAGCGCAGGAGACATCAGCCCCCACGTCGACCCCAACACTCGACTGCAGCTGGGCCCGCACCCTGACCGGGGCCGTCTCCCAGACCCAACTCGACACTTGGACCGAGGCCATCACCCCGACCCTACTCCAGGCCGTCATCCGGACCCAGGTCACCCGCCTCTCCCTGGTCACTCGCCTTTGGGACCGCCCGCTCCAGACGAGCTTCCGCGTCCGCGTTTGTCGGACAGTCAGCTCTTGTCGGAGCACGCGGCGCCGTCTGAGCGTCCGGTCTTGTCCGAGCGTCAAAGCGAACGGCCGGAGCGCGGGCAGGAGGAGGAGCGGCGAGAGAGCGTGCACTCGGGACTGCCGCCGCCGATGCGACGGGACAGCGCCGCGGGATCCCACAAAGCCGCCGCCGGTTTCTTCGGCCGTCTGGCGACCGCGGAGGGATACCAGCCCCCAGCTACGATGATGCCAGGTACGATGCCCCTAGGCGGGTTGATGCCAGGTGCGATGCCGGCTCAGTTCCCTGCGAATGAGTCAGCGACGGGCCCGGCGGTACCGATCACGGTGGGTCCGTTGGTACCGGCTTTGGTGCCAGGTATGGTGGCCCAGATGGTGCCGCGCTCGCCGTTTATGCGTCCGTATTCTTCTACGGTAGACGAGGGCTCTTTGTGGAACTCGGCGGGACGTCGCGCACGGTTGGCGTCCCCGGATCGGGCGAGTCAACAATCAGAAATGCAGCGGGTGACGATGTTGCGGAAGTTCCGTGAACTGCGACGGCACCAGCGGGCGAGCGAGTTGCCCGCGATTACGCGCCCTCTGTTAGGCACGGGACCGGAGCGGGACGCCGCTTCCAACCCAGACCGAGACACAGACGGCGCAGAGGACGGTACAGGGGAAGCTCCGGACGGCGCGACCGAACACGAAGATGCCTCATCAGACTCTCCATCGCCGCCAGAAGACCTGGGACTGGCAGCGCGGCTTGAGAGTGTGCTATGCGAAAAGATTGCCGGTGTCAAGGATGCTCTGGCGGCGCCCACGGACGCCGAGGGTCGCGAGTTGGCGGCAAGACTTGCGCTGGCCGTCGGCCCCGACGGCCTCGACGTCGCCAAACTGCCACCCAGTTTCGCCGCAGACCTCGCGCGCTGGCGCCGTGCGCGTGAGATCTCCGACGCACGCACATGCTCGCGGGGCGACGACGCTCGCACGCGCGCGGCGACGAACTTACGCCGTGCGCGCGACTTGGCGAGCCAGGTCGCGGCTGCGGCCGCGGCCGCGGCCGCGACGTGCGGTGAACTGGAGGCACTGGGCGCCGTCCTGCGGTCCAAAGATGCAGCCATCGCGCAGCTGCAGAACCAGGCTGTGCAAAACGCAGCACAAACGCACCGGCAGACACGCGCATGGGCCGAGTACCAACATGCGCTCGAGAACACACTCCAGACGCGCGTGGCTGCCTTCGCCGCTGCCGCGAACGAACGACTGCTCGCAGCCGCGACCGAGCGCGACCGCGCGGTGCAAAAAGCCGAGGCGCTGCAGCAGGACGCGCTCGACGGCACTCTGCAACATTCGGCGAAGCTCGTGGAAAAGGAACTGCAACTCAACCAACGCGAACTCGAACTCCAAAGCCGCGAGCAGCACCACCAAGAACTGCAGCGAGAGCTCACACTCACACAGCAAGAGCTCACGCACACACAGTCTGAGGAAGTCGCCAAACTGGAGAGCCAACAACGAGAGCTGGAAGAACAGCGCGGGGAGGTCGAAGTGAGGCGTGGAGAAGTGGATGCGATGCTGGGAGAACTGGAAGAACAGCGCGGAGAGTTGCAGACGCAGCGCGGAGAGTTGGAGACGCAGCGTGGAGAGTTGGAGGCAACGCGCAGATACTTGGAAGAACAGCGCGGAGAGTTGGAGGTGCAACGCGGAGAGTTGGAAACGCAGAAGCAACAGTGGGGAGAGCAGCAGGACGAGTTGCGGCGTCGTGAGGCAAAGCTGGAGAGCCAAAGGTTCGAACTCGGACAGCGCGAGGCGGAGCTGCGGGCGCAGACGGAGACGGAGCGCGATCGCTGGGAGGCAAAACAGCAGCAGCTCGAAGAGACGCAGGCGGTTTTGGCGGCGCGCGAAGAGCGGGCAGGCGAACGCGAAACAGCGCTGGTCAAGCGCGAAACGGCACTGGTCGACGGCGAGAATTCGTTGGCGGAGCTCGACAGTGTGTTGACGAAGCGAGAGAGAGCGTTGGCGGAGCGGGAGAGCGCGTTGGCGGAGCGGGAGAGCGCGTTGGTGGAGCGGGAGAGCGCGTTGGAGCAGGCGAAGATCGCATTGAGCGGTCGCGAGATCGACGTGGCGACGCGCGAGATGATGTTGGTGGAGCAGGAGAGCGAGTCGCAAGAGTGTGCGACGCAGCGGTCGGCGCGAGAGAGCGAGTTGGCCGACCGTGAGCGCGTGCTTGCGGAGCGTGAGCGCGAAGTGGGAGCGGCGCAGCGTGTGTGCGCGGAAACGAACGCGCGCGCGCGCGATGAATTGCGAGGCGTGCGTGAACGCCTGCGCGAAAAGGAGGCGATCGTACAATCCAGACTGGGTCTGATCGTGCGCCAGCAGACAGACATCAAGAGACAGTGGGATCTCTGCCTCGCCTGGCGTACCCGCGCCGTCAAGGCCCACGAACTGCTCAAGGCCGAAACTGAACAAGCGCGCGAACGTTGGACTCAAATCCAACAAGGTCATCCAGACGCGGTCAAACAACTTTACGACGCCTTCGCAACCTCACACAGCCGATTAGACCTCACCATCCCCAATTCTCTTGCACCCGAATCCCTCGCTGCACCCGAGTCCCTCGCTGCCCCCGAACCACTCGCTGCCCCCGAGTCACGCGATGCACCTGAGCAGCTCGCACAAGGACCACGCGTTATGCATGAGGTCGAAACATTTGCTCGGTCACGGGCAGAGTCACAGGCAGAGACCTTACCACAGAGAGAAGTTCTGCAAACTTTGCCACAATCTGCGTCCGTGCCACGGGCCGACTCGAAACCTGGAGCACCCAGGATCGAAACCCACCCCGACCGAAATCCGGATCCCGATCGGTGGAACCCGGATCGCCGGAACTCGGAACGGCGATCGTCTGCTTCCAACGCCCCGCACGACAGCCGGCCTCCCAGCACCACCCTGACTCCGGCCATAGCGCCAGCCCGGGCCCCTACCCCAACGCTCTCATTAACCGAGAACGCGTTGCAAGGCCACTTCCATTTCGGCGCGGAAGACGCCGGCTCACAGGAAGACGAAAGCCGCGACGACCCCGGCGAGCTCGACCTAGCCGCACTCCCTCTCCTACCAACTCAGGAACCCCCCAGTCTTTCTTGAACCCGCCTCCCACCCAACCTTTTTGCACAACTGGACTGGACCGGCCTGGACCGGACTGGACTGACTGGATGGACTGCCGCTTTATGATTCAAACGGTGGGTGACGAGCGAGCGAGGTCAGCCAGCAGTGACTGAGTGAGAGTTTAACGTTTGGTCGACACCATTTGATCAACACCACCCGACCTCGCTCGACGCCTCGAACCGACCGACTGGTTGGTGACAAAAAAGTGAAGGCGACGAGTGTCGTCGGATTGAAAACCAAAAAAAGTGCTAGGCCTGCCGTGAATGACAGACGGGGTCGTGAGTGAGGGGGTGGTGAGTGAGGGGGTGGTGAGTGACGGGGTCGTGAGTGACGGGGTGGTTAGCAGACTCTTCGGGGTGGTCGAGTTCTTGCGCGTTGAACGGACTCTGAGACTTGGTCGCTGACAGTGGTGTATGAGTTGTAGGTACCGAGTCGTGAGGTGGCACAGGAGGAGGAGCATGAGCACGAGGAAGCGGTCGAAGAGTCGGCGTCTGGCTTCTGGACTTCCACACGATTGCAGAGGTTGAAAATCGCCCAGAGCCCGCTCGGCTTCTTTGCAGGTCGGGCAGCTACTCGTCCTCCGCGTGACGCCCCGCGACCACTTCGGGCCCCGCTCCGACCACTACGAAGAGACGAGGACCGACGCGTGCCACCTACAGTTGAGCGGTAGGGTGCGGTGTTTGTCTTCGGCTTGTGACTCGGCGGCCGACTCACTGGAACCGGGACCGGAGGAGGTGGGGCCTGGGCTTGGACGGGTGGAACTGGAGCGTGGACATGCGGGCCTTGGAAGGACGGGCCCTGAACGGGTGGGCCTTGAGGTGATTGGCCTTGAACGGTCGACCCTTGAGGGGGCAGTTCCTGAGGTTGCGGAGGTGGAAGGTAAATTCGACCGGGCAGGTGGAGCGCCTGGCCGATCGGTTGTGGAGGTTGCTCCGGCGACGACTGCGGGTGACGGTGGTTGGCGCCGGGGTGCGTAAGTCCGGGGAGCGACTGTCCGGAGGAGAACCCCGCTCCGGAGTGTTGTTCGACTCCCGCTGGGAACAGACTCGAAACACCGCCCGGGACATGCATCTGGCTCACCGTCCCCGCCGGAGTTGGAGTCTGAGCCTTGGAGGCTGCACCGGGGGGGTCCACACCGCCCGAGGGGGTCAGGCCCGAGTGGTTCAGGCCCGAGTGGTTCAGGCCCGAGTGAGTCGGACGGGAACCCAAATGCACAAGACAAGAGGCACCCGAGCCGGAACCAGAGGGGCCGGAG